GTATTATTTAGACTATATTTTTGGTAGAGTGCCTCAGATGGTGAGCCGGTACATACATACCGTAACTCCGCGTAACTTACTTCACACAGCATTATTTAGACTTAGTGATAGTTGACGCTTCCAGAGTTTAAGTCGTGGAGACACTATTTCTGGTCCCAAATTCAACACTCGAACTGTGTTGTTCTGGCATCTACGCATTATCGTAGTCAGTAAATTGGAATGGATAAACTCAGTTTCAGTAATAAGGGAGTTTTATGCCTTTGTGTAAGATCTGTTGAAGGTCCAGTTAGGGTCGTTTTGTTCTTGATTCCTTGCCTGATGCTGTGCTTTCACTGCTGCTTCCAGCATTGCCGCTGTTTGGCGAATGGATCATCATAACGTTCAAGGAAGCTGTTTAATTACCTCAATGGTCCATGAGTTAGCTTATGTAGGAACTTCTTGTTGTCAGTTACATTCAAAGTCGAGTCAATCTGAGCACATTCCGAGTACTCACACAGTCAAGAGGAGGGGCCAGGAGCTGAGTCGACCCCATCAACCACAATCAGGCGAGTACAATTAGGCGAGTACACACACACTATTACTCTTGTATTTGTGAATACATTATCATAGCAATGTACCACAGTACATATTAATAGTAGTACAGTATTTTATCAAATGTGCCCAAAGCATCGTATGATTAGTGTACAGAATAACTATGATATATAAGTATACTAAGTTATACTCCAAGAGTTGTGTAGGAGTTTATCTCCTTAATTATTCGAACTACATTAACTATAATTATTAACACGAAGACACCTTTGTTATAAAAGATCTCTACTTGTGTTTGGTTTGTATTCATCCAGCTGCAATCCAAAAAGCTCTATTGTGAAATCACATAATTTACGGGATAACTGGACTAGGATACACTATGACAAACTTACGAAACCAGAAACAAGCTAGATGTTAGAGGGGAATCAATAAGTTGACCTAGTCTTCTCTGGAGATATCTTCACTTAACAGATGTCGCATTTTGTAACATGGTTACCAGATTTATTATTCGGTTTAGAACACAAAACTATCGAGAGTTTTAGTAGGAATATTTGGGTTGGTTAAGGAAGGTGGGAGGTCGTGTAGGAATGTGAGGCGATGTGAAGCCTAATGTGTGTGTTTTGTGGCACCGAGGCAGGTCCATGGAAGAGACTATTGATAGTTAGGGGGAGCACTAAAACCGCAAGGGTAATACAGCGCCTAAGGTGATGAAAGGTATTCAGACTATTCAAGGAATTGGAGCGCAGGCTCAATTTCTTAGATGAAGAAATTCCCCCCTCACCAGCATCAAGGAACCTCCTCTGAGGGGACCTAGACTCACTAACCTATGGGGTGGCTTATTTTCTAGTCCCTGCTTTTAGGAGCAAGAGAGGTTGGAAGTAGTTTGAATGCTCCAAGAGTGTTGCTAGTAGCGCTGAAATTGACCGAAGATCGAACCACGGAGTGTGAATAAGGGTCCTGGGAGAATAAGTATTGGAGCAGTAAATAGTGATTTTGCTAGGCTACCGCGGTACTATGAGAGGAACCACCTGCTGTATAACACGAAAGTTTGCCCCCTTTTTGTGTGGGGAGGGGTAAATTTCGTAATTTTAAAAGCATAAATTGTAACCGGTATTAATTGTGAGGGGAGGGGAGAAAGTTCCTACAGATATGTACTGAATACTGATGTAATAGTTTAAATAATATTGGTTGGGTCTTTACCTCCTGTATCAGTCAGCAGTGTATGCACGCTAGTGCCACCTGTGAACCACATTTAACTACAAATGGGATCCACCTGGTGACTTAGATTACATTATTTCTGTTCTAGTTTCCCTTTACTTAACAACAGCACACTGGATCTGTCTCCGCTGTACACACCAGGTCTCTCTTGATCACGTAAGCAGCCATAATACATTACTGTCAAGTTTTTAAGTTTCCTGTCTAACATTTCTCATATTGGGTTACCAGTTGTGATTTTATCAAACTGAAGTTAACCGCGACAACCAGTTCTTATGGTCGCCAGCCAATTTCATATGGTATCAGGACACCCTTACGAAGGGGCGAAGGGACGGCAGCAACCAGGAAACACAGTGAAGGAACAGCACACACACAATGTAAATTAATATTCTTTATTTGTAAAAAAAAAAAAAAAAGGCCATTCTGCCGATATATTTCGTGAACAAAGCAAATGACTAGTAGTGTCTTATAAAATATATGTGTAACCTGATCAACAATAGAAATTTTAACTGCACGAGGTACATATATTGGTTAACACTGGAATGGTAACTGTTAGCACAAGGTACTGGCTAACACTGGAATGGTAACTGTCAGCACAAGGTACTGGTTAACAATGGTAACTAAACAAGGTACTGGTTAACAATGGTAACTAAATGTACTGGTTAACAATGGTAACTAAACAAGGTACTGGTTAACAATGGTAACTAAACAAGGTACTGGTTAATGGTAACTAAACAAGGTACTGGTTAACAATGGTAACTAAACAAGGTACTGGTTAACAATGGTAACTAAACAAGGTACTGGTTAACAATGGTAACTAAACAAGGTACTGGTTAACAATGGTAACTAAACAAGGTAATGGTTAACAATGGCAACTAAAAAAGGTAATGGTTAACAATGGTAACTAAAAAAGGTAATGGTTAACAATGGTAACTAAACAAGGTAATGGTTAACAATGGTAACTAAACGAGGTAATGGCTAACAATGGTAACTAAACAAGGTAATGGTTAACAATGGTAACTAAACAAGGTAATGGTTAACAATGGTAACTAAACAAGGTAATGGTTAACAATGGTAACTAAACAAGGTAATGGTTAACAATGGTAACTAAACAAGGTAATGGTTAACAATGGTAACTAAACAAGGTAATGGTTAACAATGGTAACTAAACAAGGTACTGTTAACAATGGTAACTAAAAAAGGTACTGTTAACAATGGTAACTAAAAAAGGTACTAGTTAACAATGGTAACTAAAAAAGGTACTGTTAACAATGGTAACTAAAAAAGGTACTGGTTAACAACTGCAGATTCACTTTAGTCGAGGACAAAAATAAAAGTCGTTAATTCATTCACATTGCAACCATCAACATTATTACCACCATCATCAACATTATTACCACCATCAACATTATTACCATCATTATTACCACCATCATCAACATTATTACCATCATTATTACCACCACCATCAACATTATTACCACCACCATCAACATTCTTTATTACCACCATCAACATTAATACCATCATTATTACCATCAACATTATTACCACCATCATTACCATCAACATTATTACCACCATCAACATTATTACCATCAACATTATTACCACCATCAACATTATTACCATAACCATCAACATTATTACCACCACCTTAAACATTACCACCGCCATCAACATTATTACCACCACCATCAACATTATTTATTACCACCATCAACATTAATACCATCATTATTACCATCAACATTATTACCACCATCATTATTACCATCAACATTATTACCACCATCAACATTATTACCATCACCATCACCATTATTACCACCACCTTCAACATTACCACCGCCATCAACATTATTACCACCACCATCAACATTATTTATTACCACCATCAACATTATTACCACCATCATCAACATTCTTCATCACCATCCCTTGATCAGCACCATCAACATTCTTTATCACCATCCCATGAGCAGTACCATCAACATTCTTTATCACTATCCCTTGATAACCACCACCAACATTCTTTATCACCATCAACATTGTCACCATCACCTGATCACCGCCACCAACATTCTTTATCACCATCAACATTATCACCATCACCTGATCACCACCAACATTCATCACCATCAGCATTCTTTATCACAATTCCTTGATCAGCACCATAAACATTATCACCATCCCTTGATCAGCACCATCAACATTATCACCATCCTTTGATCAGCACCATCAACATTATCACCATCCTTTGATCAGCACCATCAACATTATCACCATCCCTTGATCAGCACCATCAACGTTATCACCATCCCTTGATCAGCATCATCAACGTTATCACCATCAGTTGATCACCACCACAAACATTATCACCATCACTTGATCACCACCACCAACATTATCACCATCACTTGATCACCACCACCAACATTATCACCATCACTTGATCACCACCACCAACATTCTTTATCATCCCTTGATCAGTACCATCAACATTCTTTATCACCATCCCTTGATCACCACCATCAACATTATCACCATCCCTTGATCAGCACCATCAACATTATCACCATCCCTTGATAAGCACCATCAACGTTATCACCATCCCTTGATTAGCACCATCATTATCACCATCCCTTGATTAGCACCATCAACATTATCACCATCACTTGATCACCACCACCAACATTCAGAACCATTAAGTACTAACACACAAAGAACTTGGTTAATATTGAAGTCAATAAGCCTAAACATACGTTCAGCTTCTTGCAAGAAAACACTTAACTTCTACAAGTGTAGTGGTAGTGATGAGTAGTGGTGATGAGTGGCGGTGATAGTGGTGGCTTTGGTGGTGAGTGGTGGGGGTGGTAGAGGTGGGTAGTGAATGGTGGGTGATGGGTGGTGGTAGTGATGGTGATGGTAGTGATGGTGATGGGTGGTGGTAGTGATGGTGATGGTAGTGATGGTGATGGGTGGTGGTAGTGGTAATAGTGATGATGGGTGTTGGTACCGGTGATAGGTGGTGGTGGTAGTAGTGATGATGGGAGTTGGTACTGGTGATGGGTGGTGGTGGTAGTAGTGATGATGGGAGGTGGTGGTAATAGTGATGATGGGTGTTGGTACCGGTGATAGGTGGTGGTGGTAGTAGTGATGATGGGAGTTGGTACTGGTGATGGGTGGTGGTGGTGGTAGTAGTGATGATGGGGTGTTGGTATGGTGATGGGTGGTGGTGATTGTGTGATGGATGGGTGTTGGTACTGGTGATGGGTGGTGGTGATTGTAGTGATGATGGGTGTTGGTACTGGTGATGGGTGGTGGTGGTTGTAGTAATGATGGGTGTTGGTACGGTGATGGGTGGTGGTGGTTGTAGTGATGATGGGTGTTGGTACTGGTGATGGGTGGTGGTGGTATAGTGATAAGATGTTGGTACTGGTGATGGGTGGTGGTGGTAGTAGTGATGATGGGTGGTGGTGGTGGTGGTGATGATGGGTGGTGGTGGTGAGTAGTGATAAAGATGTTGGTACTGGTGATGGGTGGTGGTGGTGGTAGTGATGATGGGTGGTGGTGGTGGTGGTGGTGATGGGTGGTGGTGGTGGTAGTGATGAAGGATGTTGGTACTGGTGATGGGTGGTGGTGGTAGTAGTGATGATGGGTGTTGGTATGGTGGATGGGTGGTGGTGTGGTAGTAAGTGTACTGTGATGGGTGTGTGGTATAGGTGATGGGTGGTGGTTGGTTAGTTAGTGATGATGGTGTTGTGGTGGTGGTAGTAGTGATGGGTTGGTTGGTGGTGGTAGTAGTGATGATGGGTGTTGGTACTGGTGATGGGTGGTGGTGGTAGTCATGGGTGGTGGTAATGATAAGTAGTGGTGATAGGTGGTAAGCGGTTTGGGGCAAAAGCATAATACTCTCTCACTTTACAGTTCATCCTCTTAACAGTCAGCATTTCATTCTTGCTAAGATAATCAAACGGGTGACTGTTTAACGAGGCTTTTACAGTGATACTGTGCTAGGTAGGTTCCCGTTTTCTGTTCATGCGTTATAACTTACTACGGCCTTTATCTTACATTTTATTTATTGCCGTTATGGTATGTTATAACTGGTTATTTTCACTGACAACAATAAATCTATCTTAACCTGACTTAAAACAGAAAAATTTGCTACAAGCTTTATGCCATAAATCAAGACAGAATATGCAAGGCTCATTACAACCACATTACAGGACCAAGTCTGATGGAAACTTAATCTTCGATCAATTAGACTTTTACCATTCTGGCCCCGTAATAAGTGGGAAATTAGCCGTATTAATTGGTTTTGTAAAAGAGGATGAGCTATATTTTGTGTAAATCATAACGGTGGTCCGGCCTTACAGTCCTACCATCACTACTACCTTACTATGTACACCAAAGTAATGTTGATAAGAACACAAACTTCACTAACTATATCACACTTGACTGATACTGGAGGAGTTACTGTCTGCTTGAAACACTGCTTAACAATATAAAACAATTACATTGTGCTCAAGACACACGTTAACTCTCTTGGAACGGTTACTGTCTGTAAATAACTGTCTTGGAAAGTTAATGTCTGTAAATAACTGTCTTGGAAAGTTAATGTCTGTAAATAACTGTCTTGGAATAGCTGTCCGTAAATAACTGTCTTTGGAATAGTTAGTCTGTAAATAACTGTCTTTGGAATATAGTCTATAAATAACTGTCTTGGAATAGTTATTGTCTTGGAATAGTTACTGTATGTAAATTACTGTCTTGGGATACTTACTGTCTGTAAATAGCTGTCTTGGGATGGTCACTCTCTGTAAATAACTCTTGGAATGGTTACTATTTATAAATTACTGTTTTGGAATAGTTAGTCTGTAAATAACTGTCTTGGAATGGTTAGTCTGTAAATAACTGTCCTTGGAATGGTTACTATTTCTAAATAACCGTCTTTGTAATTTTTACTGTCTGTAAAAGGCACAATAGCAGCATTATAATTGGAATGGTATTTAATTACCTATAAGTTAGAGTATGACCGACATGATTACAGTCTCTTCAAGACACTTTACTGATATTGGAATGTTTCCTGCATGTTAACACAGTCTGCCTGACACGCCCCGACATGTTACTGGCTTTCTTTATACCTAACAACACTTTATAAAATGTAAATCACTCATTGTAACCTTTGCAAAGAAATAAAATTTGTATTTGTAATGGCTACTGCTTGCACAACACACTGTATCAATACTGCATTGGCGACGGTCGGACAGGATGTTCCCTTATCAATGGCATGGCAATATTCCTTAGCTGGCTAACACAACTTACTACAATGGAGAAAAATGTTATTATCACGACAACTGTAAAATTCTAGACGGTTTCATAAGTGGCCTCTTGAGTGGAATGTGAACTGAGAGAGCAATATTGCACAATAGTTTCGTCCAATACACTGAGTGACAAGTGCATTCAATATACTTCTCCATCCTCCTCCACACACACTTGACAGTTTGTGTGTTCTTGTACATCCACCACACTTCCTCATCCTTCTCCACACACACTTGACACTGTTTAATCTCAGAGTTGCTACACCAACCTGTCTTACATACACAGGTACAGTACACATGTCATAAACATCGTCTCTCTCTCTGCCTTAATACACATTCCTTCACAATTCTTATATAACGCAACCATATTTTAATTGTTAACAAATTCACTATTTCTTAACGTCGATCTTATTAAATTCATCGCCAAGAGTTTGAATTAATGTTTTCATTGTAATGTTCGTGCAAAACTTTTCATGTTTGTTATGTTGCTGCGGCTTCCCAGTCCTTGCAACACTTACATGCTAGCACCACATGCTCTCGATACATGTTTGTTATGTTGCTGCGGCTTCCCAGTCCTTGCAACACTTACATGCTAGCACCACATGCTCTCGATACATGTTTGTTATGTTGCTGCGGCTTCCCAGTCCTTGCAACACCTACATGTTAACACCACATGCTCTCTATACAAACTTTACTCTTATTTAAGAAAAAAAAAAACTCCTCTACAATAGTGGTGAAATTTACTGATTAAATAATGAGCTTCAGTAGGGAGCTCAACATAGATTCTTCTTTTCAGAATCCTAGCAGCTAAATGAAGGGTAACCGTTAGACTTGACTCACTAGAGCGCAGGCGAGAGAAATACATCCTAATATATACATGGAAAATCCTAAAGGGACTTCTCAAATCTGTACAGAAATCACTCCCTACGAAAGCAAAAGACTGGGCAGGCGGTGCAACATATCCCCAATGAAAAGTAGGGGCGCCACTGGTACACTAAGAGAAAACGCAGCAGAACTGTTCAACAGCCTCCCACTAGGCATAAGGGGAATTACCAATAGACCCCTGGCTGCCTTCAAAAGTGAGCTGGACAGATACCTAAAGTCAGTATCTGACCAGCCGGGCTGTGGTTCGTACGCTGGACTACGTGCGGCCAGCAGTAGCAGCCTTGTTGATCAGGCTCTGATCCACCGAGAGGCCTAGTCAAGAACTGGGCAGCGGGGGCGTTGACCCCCGGAACACCCTCCAGGTAGACCCGTAGGGTCACGTAGCACTAGGTTAATAATACCTATTCTGAACTCTTACACATCTCAAGATGTCTGCCCACTCAACATGCCCCGTCATATCTAACTTTGCTAAATAAAAATAAAATGTTACCATACCAAGAGAACGTGGCTTTTGCTTACACTGTAAGAATACAGTAGCGGCACGCTACCGATGTATTCAATTCTTGCCAACTACAAACAAAAAAACCCGCCCGTGATGGGCTTTTGATGCGAGGAATTTGACCAGTCTTCTACTTTTTTTAATTAAACCTGATTGCTCCCCCATTCCCTAGGTTTAGCGCTCACTCCACCATGCATGAAGTGTGTGGTAAGCAGAGTGAGCAGTGACCAGGTGAACCACACCATCATAACTTACTACTGATAACACCTCTACTTAACCAATGATACCGTATTATAATGTATCAGTTCAATAACTTTTATCATCACCACCTCACATCTCCCTCACACATCACCTCATTACCTCCCACGGAGACCTACCTCTACCATCACCACCACCTCATTGCCTCCCACGAAGACCTACCTCCACCATCACCACCTCATTACCGCCCACGGAGACCTACCTCTCATAACCTTTCCTCTATCAATTTTTCATTTACTTAAGTCTTGCTAAATACAATTTTAATATCCCAATACTGAACCTGGTCTACATTACTCATTATCAAGAGCGGCAGTGTGTGGAGGCAGGCTCCTTACTACAGACGAGGACCCTACACCTAGACACGAACCACTCAAGTGACCCAGTGTCCAGAGTCCTGGAGCTGTGTACTAACAAATTTATGTAATATATTTCATATATAATACTAACATCGACGTTCCAGTACCGTACCATGACACAGCCGTAAATAATTTTAAACTGTTATAATATTTTCACTCTTACAAGGATCAACACACACAAACACTTCAAGTTTCCCCTTCAATGCTACAGTTTCCACTACTGCTCTTAGAAATGTGACTTGCTTACACTCTACATGAAGTCTTTCGTGTTGTCAGAGCATGATGGGATTTTAAAGAATATATTGTCAGCGTATCAGATATGGTTCACACCAACACCATAAACTGTTATGTTGACGAAGAATAAAATGTCACAATGGAAATGTTCTCCAACAGTACGTTTTTAGGAGGAACATTATGACGACATTTCAGTCCATACTGTGCCAATGTCAAGTCACAACTGGGACTAGACATTGGCTCCTCTCCTAAATGCACTTTTTGTGACTTGTGATGATGATAATTTTAAATAAAATGGGACTAAGGACATTACCTTGAGGTGTGTTCAATTTCATTTTGTGTACCTTGGACCTTGTTTCCCTCCACATTACTCCAGTCCTTATGCGTTACATATTTCCCCACTCGTGGTTACCAATTTGCTAATTACCATGCTAATTAAGAGAGATTTTTTGTGCGTTATCGAAGGTCTCTCTCAGGTCAAGAAATGAGTAGTGCGCCTTGCTACTAGCAAGAACTGTAGTGACGCAATGTGTAGTGCTGCTACTTCACCCTAATCTAGTTAGAATTCTAACGCGTTCATTTCTGTGCAATAATGTATTTAATAATATTCTCTAACATTTTAAGGAACCATGACGTGAGAAAAGTCTTACATGCATCAATGAAACAACCACAGCCACGCTACAACATACTAGCCACTGTCAGTAAGACGACTCCAGAAACTACTACTTGTAAGAGCAAAAGGTGGTGACCAAGAAGATACCAAACTGGTGTTCCTGGCAGCCATCGCGCAGACGAAGCTGCCACGGTGGCCAGCAAAGATAAACAGATTTTAATGTGCTACTTAGTCTAGAACAAATCATGGAGCAATGTGAGACTGACAACAAAACTGGCGCGACGTCCATACCGTGATAACCCAGGCACATCCAGATACGAAATCCGCATCTAGTTCAAAGGTGTAGTAGTATTTTAGTCGTTAGGAGATAATGGCTGCCGTCTCTTAAATGATAACTTGCTGAGTGGCAAGCAACCGCTGGAGTACTGGTGCTAAGGATCCACCTCACTTTAAGATATCAAGAAACCAGTGTTCTATCTCTCCCCAGGTACCGGCAGATAGGTTCTAGTAAACAAAGACACTAACTAAGCCTAACATCAGGCATCAACCTGGGAGGTGAGATGGGAACATCACAGTGCATGAAAATGAAAATTAGCCATTACTGCAAATATTCTAGCATTACTTACTTTTCTTAGTTTGTTAAGCTTATTGCTTATTAACTGTACGTGAGTTAAGTTTGCAATTCACGTACTTGCAAGTTAACACCAAGACTATGTCCCTAAAATAGTGATCAAGTAAATCCTCAGTGTGCGTGTATATATACATGTATATGCATGTATGCTATATATATATACATGTATATATATATAGATATACACATTTAAGTGTGTATACATGCAAACATATATCCCCTAGTGTACATACAGGAAAATATTCACTCCTCATTGTATTTAAAGAGTTGGATATCTGAGTGTATATACAAAGGGAAATGTACATCTCTCAAAATGCATATACAGAAAAATATATAGCTCTATGGATATACACAAAGATATAAACCTCTGTGTTTACATACACAGCATCCTGGTTCTCGTAGAGAACTGCGAGTCAAGAGCATCATTCCCCTTGACACAGCCGAGGTATTTCTAGCAACACCCTCAACTGATGAAATTAAATTGATAAACACACCCATCACTCGCTGAGAGCGCCGATTCTAGAGCAAAGTTCAGCAAGGGGCCAATCACCCACACAGGTCGCAACCCAAAAATTAAACATTGAATAATGCCCACACCACCAGTGCCAATCGGATGACACTGTGATAGCAACATCAACCTGGTAATGAGTATCAACACAGTAACCAGCATCATCGCAGAGGTGGCAGTGACAACAATGGCTACTTATTGAGGGCAAAGTGTGGCAAAGGAGTTTATTACTGTCTCTCAACATCCCGAAGTGGATAAAAGACGAAGGTGACCACTGTTTAACCGGTGAGGGAAGGGGGTAGGGGGGATGACCACTGGCTAATGTCCACATGAAAACGCCATAGTTCTTTATTGAGAGTAGAGCACAGTGCCTGACCATATCTTCGACACCCCAGTTGTATATCTCAGCTCAGGCTGACAGATATATCATTACTCTGAAAACCCATACTATGTGAAGTACAGGCAGGAAACCCATCCTGCGCGATGGACCTTGACAGGAATGCCATCACTGTGTGATGGAATACAACGGGAAGCTCTATTTTGTGTGACGGTGTATGACTGGTAACCCATCCTGTGGCATGAGGCCGACAGAAAAATCACGATGTATGACTGGCAAATCATCCAGTGTGGTGGGCAAACACTGCTACTTCTCTAGCCTTGTAAACATGTCATACAGAACAGGGTAGCCACACAAAGTGGTGAAGTATCTAATTTTGAAAATAAAAATGTGCCTTGGGAAGACAGTGGATAGTACAGTTGGCGCTACTGAACGGTTGTTAGACGGAAAAGTTCAAACTACTTCATATAGCTTTCTCTTTGTGACTGGGAAAGGTGTATAACTTTCCAAGTGTAGAATGCAAAAAAAAGACTATAGCTTTCTATTTGTGGGATGGAGAAACTAGCTTCCTATTTGTGGAATGTGGAAACTAACTTTCTATATGTGGGATGGAATAAGACTACAGTTTTCTATTTGTGGGATGGTGCAAAAAGTAGCTTTCTATTTATGGGAAGGAGAAAGACTATACTTTTCAATTTGTGGGATGGAAAAAAAACTAGCTTTCTATTTATGAAATGGAGACTAGCTTTCTATTTGTGGGATGGAATAAGACTAGTTTTCTATTTGTGGCATAGAAAAGGACTAATTTTCCATTGGCAGGATAAAAAAAAAAAAACTTTCCCCTGAGGGATGGAAAAGACCAGCTTTCGATATGTTATATAGAAAAAGACTTAACATTGTATTTGTGGCATAACATATGGATGATTACACTGATTTCTATGTTTAGAAAGAGGGAATATCCATTGTAAGAGGCTGCAACGCGAGTATTACTTTTTCCGAACAAGCAGAGAAGACACAGAGATGCTGCTGTGTATCCCTAGGCTAATAATTCAACAACATGAGATAGCTCAGGAGCACCCAGATGAAACGGACTTGAAAGCAATATGAGAGTCGTACTTAAAACAAGGCTGAAATGAGGCTCCTGTAAACACAAGAGAAAGATCTGCCGAACCTGCAGATATGTGTGACTTCCAGGACTTTGCCTCACCGCAGGTGACAGATGTTAATGTTGATAAACGACTGAGTATATCATTAATAAAGCTGAAAACATTACTGCAATCTGCAGGAGTCTGCCATAATGCTGAACAGACCAAAATCTTGTGTATCTTTACAACTTAATTGTGCTCTTATACAAGTGATGCACAAAATGACGGAATCAGACACATATACAAGAGAGAACTGAACTAAATAAAGAGAGATTATGTGAATATAAGTGAAGTATGAAGAACAAGGTGGTGTGACCAGGTGCCATCAAGGTAGCCAGCAGGTGCCTCCACGCGACACTGCCCCACATATACACATGACAAGAGATGCCACTACACACCCATTTAAGCTATTATGATGAGGTGACTAGGAACTCTTTCTTATTATCTAACACAAATGTGAGGTTAACACTCGGAAGAGCTCAACACTAACAAATCTTTCAGTCCCTGACGTGCATTCAGCAAATTTGTAAACGAAATATGTTGAGAGAGAAACATACAAGTTCTGCATGTTCTTAACATTAAAAAGTGCAAGTGACAAAAAGTCAATTAATGTAGAGCCGAGACGAGGCTACATGAAGCGAACCTTCATGGCGTTATGATAGCAACACACAATGCTTGACAAGATCATTGAGAAAGACGCATGTACCTTCATGATACATTCAACGTTGACAAGATCATTGAGAAAGACACATGTACCTTCATGATACATTCAACGTTGACAAGATCATTGAGAAAGACACATGTACCTTCATGATACATTCAACGTTGACAAGATCATTGAGAAAGACACATGTACCTTCACGATACATTCAACGTTGACAAGATCACTGAGAAAGACACACGTACCTTCACGATACATTCAACATTGACAAGATCACTGGAACAAGCGTGCCTAGATGATATACCTACAATATGGAAAACATTTCAGATTATCATGGATGGATTCACAGCCTATTATTGCTCAAAAGATTGTACATTCAGTAATATTAAAATTTGTTTAGTGATGGTTGTACGTTCGACATAAGGAACTATTTTAAATTACATAAGAACAGGCACTAGCTGAAAATACAAAGGAATCAGAATGCAGCCAATGAATATATCTAAACATTTATTTGGTTCTTGCAAGAAAGCAGAGGAGGAAATCAAGAAGAAATTGCAATAATGCATGTTAAAACTAACTTTGCATTTATCAGTCCTTTTTGCACGAATCATCGTCGTTTTCGTCAGCTGAATACTCGGTTGAGGAGCGTACATCATCTATCTGCTTGTTCTGTAGCTTTCTGACCACAATCCTCAGGATGAGGTAGGTCCAGCCTAAGTGTATAAGCAGCAACGACAGCAGCATGCCGTTAAAAATATAATACACAGGGTACCAAACATTGAGGATCACGTGAGCCTCGAAGAATGTGCTTCTGAGAATCCACACCGGATATATACCTGTCCGTGTGCTCAGCCACAGCAACAAAAACACGACAAATAAAGAATCCATCCAGCTTTGTCTCCCACAGAGTTTACACATCTTGGCCACGAGCATTGGTATGTCGGCACACTCGTGAACCACCAACACCAGTGTCCCGATACGTACAAAATTACATGCCCAAGAGAACGATATAAGCACAATGGTAAGAATATGGTGTACAAAAAGTTGATTAGAATCCTTGCGTCGGTGTTGAAAGGTGTGAGTGATTGTCATGCACCAGTAGAACCCCAGAGCCACCATGTAGTACCACCACACGTCTGTATCAAGATCATGCTCCGGAAAACCATACCAACAGTGGCGGATGTCCCAGAACCAAGGCTTGTCCCACAGCACCAGTGGACCAAAAACACAATACACCATGTAATAGAGCACCTCCCAGGCTAGGCCACAGAACTTGCCTAAATCGGTAGTTCGAGCTGACATTGCTCGCTGCCTCAGCCATCTCTCCACTTGTCGCTCCGTCCATCCTGCTGTGTGCGCAGCCTTGCGAACCTCTTCCACGGGAGTATGACTGCGATACTGACGGAACAGTGCCTCTAGATGGGCGTTAGGCGGTGGTGGGCGTATACGTGTGTCCTTGACACCCAAGGCAGCAGCAAGGGGAGTGAACATGAAGGGAGTTAATACGAAGTAGCGTAGAAAGATGAAGGCGCCGGCTATGAGAAACGGGTAGGTCCACACATCGTAGAACTTGGGGTAGTTAAAATGTTGAGCGTGCACCAGGAGGTCCCAAGTGTAGCCGGGGGGCAGCCATACGCTCTCGCTCCAGAACCATGCGCTGAGGGCCGTCCCTGCCATCCTACCTGAGAGGACCAACCAGAGTTATAACACACCCTCAGCATCACAACCTCCCCACCCCCCCCACACACAGTTCAACCACGCATGATTACAAACACTCCTACACTCCTGATCCCTTCCCCACACCCACCAACGCTATACACATACACACAACCATACACACACACACACACACACACACACACACAACCTCCCCTCCCACACAAACACACTCTCTAACCCCCCACACACAAAAATCACACGCACAACCCCTTCAATCCCCCCACACACATTCAGCCCACCACACACAAAACCACACATACATACACAACCACACACACACACACACATATAACCCCCCACACACACACAACCCCTTCAATCCCCCCACACACACAACCCCTTCAATCCCCCACACACACAACCCCTCCAATCCCCCCACACACACAACCCCTTCAATCCCCCACACACATTCAATATCGTTCCGTGAGAACAAATGCTGAAGATTTTATAACCAAGTATAATATTACATAGAAAATACTAAAGGTACAGAGGCTGGCTGACTGGCCGGGTGGTGTCAATGATTAAGAAAACACCAGCGTAGAGTAGCATCCTCATGATGTGCAACACACACGGCTCAACACACTCAAGCATTTACACTGATCGCATCAACTGATGTGTGGCAACATTATACTTGCAACATCAACAATCACACTACTCTCGTCCATTGATGTGTGGCAACAGTACACTTGCAACAACATTAAAATTAACAATGTCTCTAACACCAAACACTACACGTTCACACTAACAGTGTTTGCAACACTACACACTCGCGCTAACAATATTTGCAACACCAAACATTCAACACCATTCACACAAATTGTTTACTACATTACACACCCAACATTCACATTAACAATGTTTGCAACACTATACATTCAACTCCGACATTCAGACTAACAGATTGAACAAAGAATATCAGCGTTGCACCTTACATTCACTTAAAACATTCTCTGGAATAAGAGACATCAGGACAATCAAGACATTTACTGAAGAAGACATTTCGCCACTAGCGGCTTTTTGAACGCTAATCCCCGAATGGGCCACCAGTGGCGAAACGACTCCTGCAACGTCTTGCTCGTGTGGCTTATTCGCACACTGTCGGTTATGTATGTACACACTTGCACAAGAAAATTCTCAGTAAATTAAACCCACTAAGAGACATTATCTTGTTTTGTTAGTAATAAACCCACTAAGAGACATTATCTTGTTTTATTTGTAATATTAAACCCACTAAGAGACATTATCTTGTTTTGTTAGTAATAAACCCACTAAGAGACATTATCTTGTTTTATTTGTAATATTAAACCCACTAAGAGACATTATCTTGTTTTATTTGTAATATTAAACCCACTGAGAGAGATCACTTTGTTTTGTTAGTAATATATGTTGCTACGTCTAAATTAAGGAAATAACAAAGGCAGACAAGAACGTCTAATTTTGAAGAGACTGAATAACAGAAAGTCACAATATGGTGACTGGAACAGCTCATGAAGGAACTACACTATGTCCAGACTGCTGATCAACAGGATATTATCCTTTCTGGAGACCACTGTAACATGATGTTGATAGGTCCTTCTCAAACCCAACCCACTTCACTAGAGTTGTACTACTACCACCACTCTCTCGTAGCTTACTATCTGACTCCTGCCACTATATATACTCGTTCTTGGTTATCTCTATATTAGGACTGAAGAAGCCACTTTTCCAGAACTGTACCTAAATATCTTTTTCCACAGCTCACCAAAAACTCTGACCTAGGAGCGGAGCCTTGTAGCGGCGTGATGGCCCGTCCTGGACCACTGAGTAATTTAACAATGGTCCTTGATGGTCGAACGTCGTCCTAAGGTTCCTCTCTCCAGTGCGGGTTAGTGCCGAATTTAAAGAGAATGTGTTTATCTCAGGAAGTATTGTAAGAGATAAACTGGAATAAAAATGAATACAGGGAACAGGCAAGGAGAAAAAATACGAGTTGAGTAACATAAGAAAACTGGTACCAAGAATTCAATTAACCAACCCATAGACTCCAGATTTAAACTAGTCAAAAATAGGCATACAAAGGTAAGGAGGAGGAAGGAACTTTTTCAAAAGTGACAGTGGCTAAGAACGTGGCTTTTAAAGAAAATAAATTAAGAAAGAGATACTACAAGAAATAAAGAATAAAAAGTCACAATACCGTAGTTGGAACACAAATAATATTGTTGATAGAATTACCAACAATACGTTAATTAAATGGTAACGGCTTGACAAAACTCCTGGAGAGCGAAACGTTGCCACAATGAAATGTCGCATTAATTGTACATGTGTCCTTTTTACCTAATACACAAATAACGTGCACTTAGAAAACGAACTTACAACGACGTTGTGCTACGACTTGGATCATCAACAAGTCGTATCCCTGTGTTTTGTGTGCTATTTCTCTTTCGCGTTCATTTCTTTTCCATATCAAAGCACACAGAATTTATTCACTTTGAAAGAGAGAAAAAGTTATTTTCTTCCAAGTTGGACCACAAGAGTCGTCATAAGTTTCAGTCTTCTAAGAGCAGGTTTTTTGAGAAATTATTTACGAATACCATGTCACTGCATTGAAGGATTATCATGGGGGAGCGCTAAACCAGTAGGATTATACAGCTCCTGTGGAGGGGTGGGGGTGGAAAGTATTCAGGCCGAATTCAGGGAACTGGAGCACAGATGCAATTCCCTAGATCAAGAGCCCCTCACCAGCATCAAGGAACCTCCCTTGAAGTCACTGGAGGAAGGAAATGTTTGAGACACTGACTACGAACCTCAGGTCGTGTTAATAACAGACGACATTTGAAAATGGTATAAGAAACAACGGCCAGTTGATGACTAAGACATGACAACTGTTGTGTATCTTTATTATTGAGACGTGTCACCTACACAGTAGGCTTCTTCAGTCAATATGAGCTTTGTCAAGCCGTAATGGCTTGACAAAGCTCCTGGAGAGCGAAACGTTGCCACAATAAAATGGCACATTAGTTGCACTTGTGTCCTTTTACCCAACATTGTCGGTAATTCTACCAACATTAATACATTCTTCAGTCAAATACAGAGGCAGAAGGTGTAGTAGTGAAGTAAAGATAATGTACTCAATGCATCAACCTTGGAGGAATAGTATTTAAGGTGGTCAGTCCCTCAGCCTGAAGGGACTGACAGGCTGAGGGACTGACCACAAATATTATTCCTCCACGGCTGATGGACTGATTACATCTCTACTCCGCTACTACACCTGCTGCCTCTGTATTTGACTGAAGAAACCAACTGTAGAGGCGAAACGTTTCAATAACACACTCAACTGTTGCACTCATCACTAGAGTACACCTTGCATGTTGCTGATTAAAAGTGCAGTCAAGTGAAAGAGACAACAGTGACATGCAACAAGAAGAGCTAGAGAGACACTACTACCGAATATTAACAAGAGAAACTCGACAGGTCTGAACTAGGCAGTAAACATCAGACATAAAAGATTATTATTATTATTATTATTATAAAAAAGAAGCGCTAAGCCACAAGGGCTATACAGCGTTGCAGGGCAGGAAGGAAGCGAGAGTATCAGGTGGCAAAAGGGAGATGCATGAGTAATAGGTTACGGAGAACAGCGGGGCAGTGGATGGTGCAGGGGTAGAGGGCAGCAAGAGATTGAGGTATAAAGGGCTGAGGGGAGTGCGAAAGGCATCAACATCAGAGTTTGTGGAGTAAATCAGTCGTTGTCAAGAAGTCGATGAGAGAGTCAGGATTAAAGGAGGGTCCATCAGACCTAACAGAATGTGCTGATAAACCAAGTTATCCTCTTTAGAAAATATAAGATTTCACTACCAGAAGGAAAAATGGCAGACAAATAGCAAATGGAACATATATCAATTTCAAAATTCCAATGGGTACATGAAAAAAAAAAACGCGAGCAAAAAAACTGTCAATTATTTTATGAGCAGGAAATTTCATTACATAAAATTTATCAAGTTACGAAGACATTCACATAGATTATCCACCAGAGAAATGGTTGGGCGAGTTGAAATAATTTAGGTTAAAAAAAAAAAAAAAAGCTTTCGATTGAGTTCTTCGTGACAGATCAACATATAAACAACAGAACACAGGAATAACAGGTTAAGAGATTTATAAATTCCAGGAAAAATGTTAACAGTGATACGAGGCAATATGTCCTCAAGAGGATTATCTGTTAGTTATCTGTTAATGGTTCAGAACGTTATCTTACCCATGGCCAGGCCTCAGATAAGGCCTACGCTGCAGAGGAAATATTACAGGATTAAGAACTATTAAGAAACACTAAGAAAATGTGTAATTAAAAACGTGTCTATGAGACAGAGAAAAAAGTAGAACAGATAATGTAAGTCCAGATACATATAATTCGATGGAACAGAGGTATATGCCTGAAAAGGCGTTCTTATGATAAGTCGGGGACCTATCGTTCAGGATGTTCAGGTGTTCTCTAAATGAACACTCGACATGTCCGGCACAGAGCGAAAACCCACATCAGGCTGGTAGACATTAGTTCCAGCCACACAGGAGGAATAGAGCTATCTTAAGTCACAAGTTAGGTAAGCAAGAGAAGAGCTATCTAAAACCCATCTAGAAGGAGGTACAAGGAACATAAAACCTCACTCAGATCTTTACAGTCTGAGAGGAGGAAACAACGAAGAATCATCTCACTGTAACGGATAGTACTATAGACCAAGACACTCACTCCTCTCTTGGCAATTGTGCCAACAGATACACTGGCATACAAAAAAAAAAAAATCTTGAAATCCAGGAACAGCTTCACTACCCCGAGTTTTTTTTTTTTACCCTACTCTTGTGACTCGGCTTGGGAGCACGGTCCCCCTGTAGATTGCCTGGTCAACCAGGCTGTTTCTGTTGGCGGTCCACTGACCCACATAACCATAACAGCCTAGCTGATCTGTCTACATCTGTTCCGGTAATATTTTTG